ATCCTATTACATAAAGTAGCGGCGGAACACCTTCAATTAAGGGGGGGGGGGCACTGCCGACTTTTGGTCCCATTCTTTCCATGCAACGCCCATAGGGCTAATGTTAAAATACCAAAATCAAAGGGGGCACGGTGCCCCGGTGCCCTCCCCGTTCCGCCGCCTATGTCCGGGTCCCTGAATGGCCTCAACACATTTAGATAACAGTATGTTTCGTCCGACGTCCATTTAAACAAGAAGTAGCAATCGAATTTTAACCGTCAAACGGTGTTGGCCGCTACAGGCCGACGGCGAGTCATATGGCTGGTGTTAGCGCTACGGTACGCATTGCGCTCAGTATGGAGACTTCAACGCCGGGCGCCACGGGAAATGTCGAAATTGATTGGGCCCGCGCCGCCTGAATTTTCGGTGCAGCGAAAAAAGAGCAGTGCCAATGGGCTTCAATGAACCCAGGGACAAGGAATATCCGCGGAAGCGCTTGATCTGAGACAAAAATATTTGATATGACACATCCTAACCAACATCATATCACATTGTTTGAACGCTTGAAACCACGAAAAGACTGCAAACGCGCGGCTAATGCGAGCCGACATACTCCGAATCGCGATTCCGGCCAAACATGGTCTCGAAAAGTAGGTCACAGGTCAAAGGTCATTTGGGTCAGGGTCATGAAATTTTCATGATATGACCGTGTTCATGTAACTACGGATATTCTGGGCTCTCGAGAACGGAAGGGCTCTATTTTGAATACTGATGACGTCACATTTGTGTCGTGAGGTCACGAAAGGCCACAATTCCAAAGAGCCACACAATCTCATCCCCCCTCTCTCTCCCCCCAACCAGTTAGTCGCGTTGTGATAGGTGTATATGTCAGCCTTTAGATAGGATTTTTGCGATACTTCATTTCCTCATTTGGTGTTTTACCTTTGTCTCAATGAATCAGGTACCAAGACGCCATGGCCATCGTGCGAGTGTACGGCAGGCCGACGTACTTCGTGACGTTCACCTGCAACCCAAACTGGCCTGAGATCCAGGCGGCGCTGCTGCCCGGCCAGGACGCGCAGTCCCGCCCCGATCTGGTGGCCAGGGTGTTCCACCTGAAGCTGAAGGCCCTGCTGAAGGAGCTCACCACCAGCGGCATCTTCGGACGCTGTGTCTCCATGCTGATGGTGGTCGAGTTCCAAAAACGAGGTGAGTAGGCACTAAAGGTTTGTGTTCGTGTGTGTGTGTGGGGGGGGGGGGGGAGGAGGGAGTGTGAAGAAAACCAATACAGCTCATCATGCATCAATTTTACGTCGTGTGCATAATTTTAGCGCTCAGGTCACTTAGGTCAGGTCGAACTTACAAGTCTAAACCGCAAGATTTCTTTTTTTCAGAATCGCAACATCTGCCCAGTTGCAATGAGCAAAGTGCAGCTTATGGCCAGCAGTGGCCCGAAAGGTCATGTTGGTTCATAAAAAGTCACCACATGACTTTGACCTGAAGTCAATTTTTTAAGGTCCTATTCTATCTCAATCGCCACTTAAAACATTATTTACTTTCCCTGCAGGTCTGCCGCACGGCCATATCCTGGTCATCGTCCGGCAGGAGGACCGCCCGCGGACTGCCGACGATGTAGACGCGGTGATCACGGCGGAACTGCCCGACCCGGCCAGGTCAGACCAGGCGCGCCGCCTGCACGAAATCGTGGTGAGTACCATGGTACACCGCCAGTGCGGCGCCGCCAACCCGACGGCCGCCTGCATGGACGGCGGCCGCTGCTCCAAGGGCTTCCCCAAGCCGTTCGCCAACGAGACAGAGTGGCGGGATGACCATCCGTACCCTGTCTACAGGCGGCGACCGGCGGCCGAGGGCGGCCAGGAGTTTGTGCGTGACGGGCGGCTCATCACCAACCAGTGGGTGGTACCCTTCTCTCCATACCTGTCCCTGAAATATGAGGCTCACGTGAACGTGGAGGTGTGCTGTTCGGTGCAGAGTGTCAAGTATCTTTTCAGGTACATCTACAAGGGCCCGGACCGCCAGATGGTGCGCGCTGACAACCTGATCGGCGGCGATGACGAGATCGCCGAGTACCAGGACATGCGCTCGATCGGCGCCAGTGAAGCCTGCTGGCGTCTGTTCGACATGCCGATGAGCCAGCGGCAGCCGAACGTGGTCGCCCTACAGGTGCACCTCGAGGATCACCAGCTGGTGTACTTCGAGCCGGGACAGGAGCGGCAGGCGGCTCAGGCCGCCCGACGCACCCATCTCACCGCCTGGCTGGAGTATAACCGGGAGTCGGCCGCCGCCGACCCGGACTGCCGCCGACTGCTCTACCCGGACTTCCCGTCGCGGTATACCTGGCAGGCCGGCCAGAAGGTGTGGCGCAAACGGCGCCAACAGCAGGCGGCAGAGGCAATCGGCCGCGTGGTGAGCCTCTCACCGCGTCACGGCGACGTGTTCTATCTCCGCGTGCTGCTGCACCACGTCGCGGGGGCGGCGTCCTTTGAGGAGCTGCGCACCGTGGACGGCGTGGTCTGTGCCACCTATCGTGAGGCGTGCTGCCTGCGCGGCCTTCTGCAGGACGACCGCGAGTGGGAGGTGACGATGGAGGACGCGGCGCACGCACAGATGCCGGCTCAAATCCGGCGCCTCTTCGTGACGCTGCTGCTCTTCTGCGCACCAGCCGATCCGTCAGAGCTGTTCCGGCGTCACCTGGACGCCATGTCTGATGACTTCGGCCGTCGTCATCGCGACCTGCCGGACGAGCTGCGCGCTGCACTAACACTGGTGGACCTGGAGCGGCAGCTACAGCAGGCCGGCAAAGAGCTCCGAGACTTCGGTCTGCCGGAGGTGACGCCCGATCAGCGGGCGCGGGCAGCTGAGCTGCAGCAGGCCGCCGAGCTGCGCCAGCTGCCGCGGCTCATTCAAGAGGAGCTGGAATATGACGCAGCAGCGCTCAGAGACCAGGTGGCCATCCAGCTGCCCACTCTACTGCCGCCGCAGCGCCACGTCTTCGACCTGGTGATGACGGCCGTCGACGGGCGGCGTCCGCTGGCCGTGTTCGTGGACGCCGCTGGCGGCACGGGAAAGACGTACGTCTTCAACACGCTGCTGGTCTATATTATGATTTATAAGTTGTCCGTGCGTGCGTGCGTAATCCGTCATGACTTATGTGTCTTATTGCGCCTGAAAGGCGCCGCGTATCGGCGTGAAATTTGGCATGCCGAATCTGTGGGCGTGGGCGGCCTTTGTATTAAAATTTGGGGGTGATCACACCAGGGGTGCGCCGTCAGCACGCGCTCGCGTGCGCCATAGGGTTAACACGGGAAACGGTCAAATCGACGATCGGGCGAAAACCGGCCTGCGGCGCCCGCTTCCCGGCTGTATAAGTCGGCAGCCGGTGGGCGCAGCGAGAAGCGGTTTACACCACTCGATAGAGGAGAGATGGAGCTAGCGTATCGATTTGGTTTCATAGTATAGCACGCGCCACGTGCAAGACAGCACCCCCAGTTGTGAAAAATGACCGATTTCGTGCATTGTGACGGGAAAATCGATGCCGCTGGAAAACGGCTTGACGGAATGAAATCGGTGTGGTACCATTTTACAGACAAATGTACGTGTAATGATAGCAAAACAAATAAAAAGTGATGATCCGTACCATTTCCTTAATAATGAAACATTAATTGGAAAATTTGATTCGCGCGGAGCGCGACGTCCTTTACAACATCAAAACGTATTGAAAACGCTGACCAATGGCTATGAAACCTACATTTTCGGAAAGAGCATTCTTTTCTGACCAATATCCACCCAAAATATTATCGAAAAGTCAAAAAACTTTTGTGAAAATGACTCAAACATGCGACCGTGTTTTGTTAACGTTACGGGTATTTTTCGACAAAATCCGATCGATGGCTTCGGCAGGCAGGCCATTCAACCTTTGAAAATAGCCATCAAAGCATGGGCTGCAATGCACCGCCCGCCAAGGGGAATTCTAAACACTGAAAATAAGCGCCTACCAATAAACAGCACATTATTGTACTAACTAGGAATAACTCAGCTACTACTGGGCCAATTGCGCTGAAACTTGGACTGTGGGTGGAGGGGGCATTAACCTGGCGATGTATGGTCATTTGTGACAGGTAGGGTGGTTCGACTGCACGTGCGCTCGTGAGGGGTCCACTTCTACATTTCAAGAACGGCTGGGCCGATTTCGCTCAAATTTTGTTCACTGTTGGGGACAATTTAGAAAGGTGGCTGGCACAAGTCGTATGGAGTCTCAGTTAGCGCGTGCGCACGTGCAGTGGGCCAGTTTTATATCTCAAGAACGGCTGGGTCGATCGCGCTCAAATTTGGTACGTTACTTTAATCGAGTATGAGAAGGGTAACTATGTGTAAGTTATTAGTAAGGTAGGGTATGGGTAGGTTAGGGTAGGGTAGCTTTGAGTTCGATAAAGGCAAACCACGAGAAAGGCTCTGACAACCCGCAACCAGAGGCCTCTTGCACCAAAATCCTCTTGCACCAATGCTTGGATTATTTTGCATCGTATGCCCAATCCAAGACTCAAATGTGACAATTTGCGTGTAAAATTTACCAAGCACCTGTAGGATTATGTATTGGGCTATTGCAAACAAATTTGCCACCGTTTGATTAGCTTATTCTGAAACCGGTTTTTCGATTTTACCTAGCTAGGTAGTTTGGTGCAAGAGGCCTCAGCACCAGCATACCATGCCGTTCAAACAAATATCCAGCTCCGACAAAATAAGACAAATAAAAATCATAAGTTCCCACACCCAAACTAATGCTCCCTCAAACGCATCTATCAAAACGCACAGTTATAGCGCAAAACATGCCATCTAGTATTTTCTTATTTTGAAGCAGTTGTGTTGGGTTTCACGTAATTGTATGGTGTCGAAACTTTTAATGTGATTCCTTTAGTTAGACCGTAAAGTCATTAAGTCCCACTTTTGCCTTCATCCCACCGCTAACTAAACGTCACATTCTTTCTCATCACACCACACAATCCAATAGACATCGTTTTATTTGGAAAGCAGCCACAGTTTGCGTCATTTCGGTGCGCCGCGCCCGTCGTTTGAGCATTTCTCTGGGACCGTTTGGACCCACCCCGCAGGAGCGGCGGTCCTCGTCCCACGCCCGCTGGCGGCACATCGCTCACTCTCCGCGCGCCGCCTCTATCACCCGCTCTCACACGAGACGTGGCACCGACACGTGGCGCCGCACGTGCCACGTGGACACCCGGCAGGATTAACAATAACACGTGGCGCCGACCGGCGACGCCCGCGCCCGCTACAGTATGGAGCGCGACGACCATCACAGATGTGCGCGCGGGCACACGAGACTAATACTAGCAGGCTAGCCTAAAAACGTACGAAAGCACATACACTGAACTGTCTGCGTCCGCTGACGACGGATGGGCCTGGCGGACGAACGCCCACATTGACATCTCACATCAGATACATCACATCACATTATAGTAACATCGCGCGGCAGACACCCAACGTACGACACAACGCGGCGGAGAGCGTGAAGGAACCCATTCAGGTCAGCAGAGCTCACCACTCACCAACCAGGGTCACGTGTGGGGTAAGTTTACATGAACAGATATAGGGCTCGTAGTGACCACATTGCACGTTTGCCAATTGCACCACAATTCATGCATACAGTAGGGTTTGAACATGCCGCCTTTTGAAGGGAATTAAAAGCTCCTAAAACAAGGTTAACCGTTGGTGAAGTGCACAAACAATGGTAACCTTACGAGTAAAACAGACTGCCGTGATTGGTTGTTCGAAAACCATGTTGTTCGGCAATGGGCGCATTCAATTTCCGAACAAAAAAATATCACGTCCAAATGGCGTGTCCACGAATACGATTGACGCCCACATACAAAACCCAGTTTCTGAACACGAGTTCGTCAAAATGGTGCAACGAATTCCAAAACAGAACGATAAAAATCGCCGGTTCTAGCCTGCACGACAAACCTCACATAAAATTCACCGCAACTTCGCCAGCTCCAAAAACTAACGAAAATGATGCAAAAAATATTCGGCGCGGCACAATGTAGCTCTCGCGATGCCAGCGCTGAGCGTTTACACCTACTCCTGCACACACGCATACAAACGCACGAGACACTCCTGGCGCACGTGTGAAACTCATGGCGCTACACTATCATGCGGTGTAGCCCGGATCCTGCCGGAAACACACTCGCAGACAGACACACAAACAGCGTCGACAGACTGCAAGGCCGTCTCAGCTGCTGCCTATTGGGGGCGACCCGTCCCACCCCGTACTCTGCCTTCGTACTCCCCTGCTCTGCCCTGCCCCCACGCGGTGACTAGACTGGCGACATCCCCCCTCCCTCTTTCCTCACATTTCCCCGACTCCTCAACTCTGCCCAAACCACAGCACAACGAAACAACACACTCTGGGAGTCAACACACAACCTGGCTCCATCTCTTGACTCCGACTGAACCAACGATCTCTCACCGAGAATCAACGACTCTCACTGAGTGAGAATCACCGACTCTTACCCACCCACATCACGGCCTGTTATGGCGTCACGGTTTACATCACGACATAGTCACGAACCACGTTACGGAGCATGTTACGGAGACAGTTACGGACACAAACACGACATAATTCACAACAGACGAATTCACGGAGTTATACGATATCTCACGCTCACGACATGTCTCACTTGGGTTAAGAAGCGTCAGTCAACATACCACATCCAGTCATGTTACACAGATGCATTCCAGACAGTTATACTTTAGACAGTGTAATAATGAATAAGCAGGTCGGCGAAAAACCCAGCTGAGGTCCAGATAGATGTTCGGATAACTTGTTAGGGGGGGGGGGGGTCAGGCAAGAGCTACCCGGCGTATACCTACGGTTCCTTAAATGCAATAGGTTTCAAACTAGCGTCGACAACGCCAGCCTTTGTATCTGAATCCGTAGTTACTTTACCGTTATGATAGTTAATTAGCGACAGTGTTCTCAAATGGCGTTCTCTCTGACAACTACAACCTAAAACCACCCACCCCAGAAATGCAGCAAATGCAATGTGTAGTTTGCAGGAGAAACATCCACGTAAACCCGGTTCGAAATATGGGCGATGCCCGCGACCACTAGCTGCCGACGCATGTTTGAAGGATAAATCCGATTCACTTAGTGCGATATCCGATGAAGGGTTGATTCTTCCGGTATTTCTTCCGGTATAATATATAATTTGATTTCACTCGATTTGATTCTGAAGACCCGAATTCGTTAGTGATGCCCTCAGGAGCAGGTTGAAGAGTATTTTAGATGTTCTAAGAAGGAGCTAAGCGCATAGCTACATAGGTCTATGAATCGGTAAGCAAAGATTGTGGTAAGCTGGAAATGTGGTAACAAACAAGCTGAGCTAACTAGCTGTAATCTCCACTCTCCAAAACAGACACACTTACAAACTAAAACACCACAAATCACATCACAAGCATCACAGACACGTCAGTTGGACTCGCACAGGCAGACGAAACACATAGACGGGGCGGATAACACTGCAGTAGCTGGAGATAGGCACACATTCTCGACACATCACAGCACGCTACCTTTTACACCACAGAAGACAGTTAAAACGGCCAGATCAGTCAGATCGCGTCTCCATCAGCTATGAATCCATCAGAATGGGACATACACGGTTATCACCAGCCGCGCACACAAACACACCTATCAGTCAGGTAACAGGAAGGACATTCACACACTCATAGACACACAAACATACAAACAGACCCGGATGGCGGCCAACAAGGGAGGACTGCCGCGGATCTGTCGTTCATTACACATCACTCAGCTGACTGACTTAGTGGAACTTATCACTGAATACATGACAGACACAACCATTTCCCCTCCCCAGATTAGCTAGAGTCGAAACCCCTCCACGACCCACTCTACATATATCCCTTCCTCCCTTAGGAATAAGACCTGCAGCTCTGTATATTAGCGGGTCCAGCCCTTGCCGTATAAAACTGAAACACATCGAAAAGCAATGCCAAAATAATTTAAAAAGTCTTTCACTCTCGCTTTTTACCGGATAGAACCCCTTCTGTTACAGAACAGGACAGATCTTATCAAAAACATTCTTTCCTAGCCTTAGATCGCTCCCTGGCTTTCACCCGCCCCTCCCAACATTGTGCCCCCCCCCCCCCACCTCTGACCACCCCCTCTCTTCTACCCCTCCCCTGGACGCCTCGCCCCTACCCCACTCCACGCCACTCCCAGCGGCCCAATCCGACAACCACCGCAGCCGCCATCGCCTCACACAACACCAACAAATCTCGCTCAGCGCCTGCAACCGTAATAAATAGGCGAGTCTTAACGTTAAATTCAGTAACAACGAATCACTCACGTACGTATATGCGCACGTCGTTTACGCGCACGCACGTACGCGCGCTAATCGCGCACCACGCGCGTACATTACACGCACTACGCGTGCGTTCGCGTGCGAGCTGGCACGTCCATCCGTTTACGTATCACGATTTGTCAGCTGTGGATTCTCAGCCTCAGGCTGGAATCCTCGGCGTATTGCCGTCCTCACCCTGTATTCATCACTGCGAGCTTCGTCGCGTTCTCATCCGCTGCTGCCTGCTGCAGTGGTCACTGCTGGGGCCTGCGTCGAGGCCTTCGCTGCTGCCGAGGCCGCCGGGGCTGGTGCAGCGGGGGCAGGGAGGGAGCGAGGCTTGGGTCGTCCCTCGGACAGCCACCCTCTGAAGATGGAGTCCATCTGAGCGCGTGCTGCTGCGCTGCCCACGTTGACCGTGGGGATGATCTCACGCGGCTGGACAAACTGCACGAACCGCTTCAGCTCGGAGTAGCTCGAATGCTCGCTGTACGGCACGCCTGAAATGACGGCCAAGAGAGGTTAGAGAAGAGTGCCTAGCATATGTCCCAACAAGACGCAGGCTTTCCATTGTAGCCTTTTCACTCCACGAGGTCTTCTCTGGGCCGGCCGGCAAGAGCTTTATACTACATACGGCGAGTGGGGCGTCCCAAGCTTACGCTCGACCAGCCCCTGCTTGGCGCGTCCGCGGGCACGCCCACATGACGTGCAAAAGAAGAAGAACAAGAAGGTTAGAGACGGGTCATGGAAGGCCAGGGTCACGCGCGTGCAAGTCTGAAGTTCGTGGTTTACTTAGTACGACAGTCATAGTTGTTCCCTCGACTCTCATTTCAGTGTCACACAATTGTTGCCTTGTCCTCCAATACACACGTCTCTCCTTAAAAAGGGCGATGATTTCGAAATTGCCAAGCTTTCTCTTTTCCACGTATCCCCTCTCCGTTTCTCACCATATATGGCGATATTTCCGGAGACTTTTGGCTTGAAGTCTCCGTGCGGCTCGTGGTCCTTGCCGTGCTCCCAGCCTGTCGGCTTGATGGCCACGATATGGGTGTACTGGGACTGGAAGATCTTCAGGTAGTTCTGAAGAGTCTGCCGGCGAAAAACAAAGTCAGGTCAGTAAAAGAAGTCGAAGGTAACAGAAGAAAACTGATGACGCATAGAGCATGAGTACCACCAGTTTACGCAGTGGTGATGTAATGCAAATAGCGCGTCAAACATAACATGTCCAATAGGTAATTATGCTGGTTTCACATCAACGAGCACAGCGACACCCATCCTATCAGCTGAGGTGTAACTATGTTATGTCAGCCAGGTTATATATTTTCTACATGAGCTACTCCGTCCCTAATCTAAATCGCCAGCCCATTAAACATATGACAACCAAATCTAGTCATCCTCCTATCGATAAAAACGCATCAACATGATTTGTCAACGCATTGAATTCTATCCATTTCATTTCACTAGAATCACCCCAGTATGTCAACCCGGTCCCGCTTCCTTCCCCACTTCCCCTCCCCCGTCCACCCACCTTCATGGTCAGGTGTCCCAGCGGCAGCACATGAATCCTGGCCCTCTGCTGCTCGGTGGTCAGTCGTCTCTTGATGGCCCGCTCCTCCAGACACTGAAGGGTGCGCCGTTTGTCCGCGGACGCCCAGAACAGGCAGTCGAGGGCCTCGGCGATCGCCAGGAACACGCGCTCCTTGCCTGCGGGAGGAACGGGGTGGGTAGCGGTGAGTTATTATAACACAAACTCTATCCGCAGAAGATATACATTTTAGATTAATAGTACCAGTTAGCTGATTGCAATAACTGCGGAGGGTACATGCAGAATAACGGGATTTCGCGAGTCTTGTATTCTGTCAACTGGAAAGAAGCGCTTATGCATGCCTCTGGTGAAGGAACAAGAATGCATGCCAACAACAAGAAGAAAACTCAATATGCTCTAGCCAGGAGCATACACTGCCCTGAGAGGGAGGCCACTGTATGTGAGGAAGGCACGAACTTCCCTGCAAGACAGCTTCCAATAGCTGATGTGATGTGCATGATTTTTACAGCACAACCCGGCCTATTCTCTCACCCAAAAGGCTTTACCCCAACTCCCTATCCACCCGCCCGCCGGCTATGAGTCTCACCGATGGTGTAGCTGCCGCAGACGACTAGCGTCTTGGCGTGTTTCTGTATGGCCTCGGTGACAATCCGCACACACTGGTGTAAAATGTCCGACTGGCTAGGAAAGTCGTACACCGGGTCACAGTACCTGAAATAACAACACGGGTTCGGTCAGGGGAGAGGCATGGGAGGGCCTAAGATGAATCAGATCAGGAGTAAGAAAATGCTAGAGAATCGAGGCCGATTACGGACGAGCTAAAGCTACGGACCGAAAGAAATTGTCATGTTAGGTCATGCCAATACGTCAGCATAGGTAACAGACAGCAATATACGTCCTGTAGACAGTGGCTAGCGCCGTCAAAGTTGTCCAAGATAAGGCGATGCATTCGGGCTATTTGTCACAATTGCGCACGCGGATATCCCGGTTGTTGACTCACGTGGTGTCCAGGTAGACCCGATCTATGGAGGTATTCCACAGCTCCGGGTAGCTCTCCATGGCCGGGTCCGCGCGGAAATCTCCCACGTGCAAAATGGCGCGACCGTCCTTGAACTTGAACAGGAACATGACGGCACCCGGGCAGCTGGGGAGGGGGGATGGTCAGTTTGGGACGGCGAGAGAAACAGACAGAAGTCAGTCCTCATCCCCAATCATCTTCGACTTATACGCCCGTTCCATCCCTTCAATAGACTAGTACTCCTTCCTACTTCAAGAGTATCTGCCTCATTCTGGCCCAATTACTCCATCCCAGTATTCGCTTCATGCTATCCTGTCCCGACCAGACTACCTACCAAAATTAACTTCTGCCGCCTCTTTCTACTTCCTGTTCTATCTCACTTCCAATCCGTCCGTCCTAGACCCGTTCCATCACTCACTGGCTGGCATTTAGGAATTTCACTCCCATCTCTCCATTTCGCTCTGTATATACACACTAAATTCGCTGAAAGTTCTAGTCTCTAAACATCCTAATGCCTGGCACCTTCCTCCTATTCCATCCCGATCTCCCAGCCGTCCGTCCCATCCCCATATATCACACTCACTGGTTGGCGTCCAGCAGTGTGACCTCGACCCCGAACACCAGCCGTGGCTCGTTCATGGGCAGCATCTTGATACGGTCGATGGGCACCTTCAGGCGCGTCAGCACCAGGTTACCTGCCACAGGGACAAACAACGAGTCAACACCAAATTATCATAGGGGAGCGGACACAGAATGTAGCAGCAGACAGGATGACAGTGTGGCCAAATTGGTATAGCGTTAGGGTGAGGATGTAAAAAAAGTCGTATGAGGATGTCACTATTCACTAAACTAAAAAACTCGTCTTCAGTGTCATTTTAGGTGCAGTTTTTACAAGTTTTGTGGAAAAACTATACCTGACGACAAGCTCTGGTGGAAAGTAAAAAAATCAAATATTTTTTTTGCATTCTCAAAATAATTTTTTTTTTCAGTTTACACAGCACTTTATTTTAGCGGACGCATATCAGGGGCGCCGCCTGGCCGTTGACGCCGTTGTGGCCGTTCTCCTGCTTGGACCGCTTCGCCTCGTCGTCGGCTGACGCATCCGAGGGACGCCGGGCCCGCTGTCGCCGCCGCAGCCGGCACCCGGCGGCGGCCGTCCGTCGTGGACCATCGGCAGTGCGCCGGCCGTCCGGCTCTGCCGCTCCCGTCGGAAGACGGCGTTGTCTCGTTCCACGGCAGCTCGCAGCGGGCCAGGCAGGGCAGCCAGCGCCGACAAGCCGCCCGCCGCCCCCGCCACCGCTGCATCGGTCAGCCGGTACAGCAGCGTGTAGGCTGCCTCGGTGGAGCGGCGCGGCCGGCCCAGCGCGGTGGCCGCCGGCACCGGCACCGCTGACGTATCGTCCAGCCGCCACCAGCCGGTATCGTCCATCCCATCAGTACCACCGCCACCGGAGGCGCGACAGAATGAGAAATAGTGGCCAGCGTCCAGCGAATGGCCCGCGTGGACTATCACTGCATACAGCCGGTACTGGGCGGGCGGGCCGGTGGCTAGCGGCACTGTCAGCCACTCGGTGAGCTCCACAGGGGTGAGAACCTTGCGGCGTGCACCGGTGCGCCGGTCAACCGCGAACCTCATCAAGGAGACGACCAGGTTGGCTGGCGGAGAGAGCAGTCGCAGCTGGCGCTCGGCGTCCCGCAGGCCGGTGCACTTGGTACAGTAATACTGGTTATCACCGCACAGTCGTTCCGGCGTCAGGTAGTCGAGCAGCAGCTGCGATACGGTTAGCTCGATCTCTGTCTGATTGTCCGTCGGTGGCGTGCCCCGCCAACCGACCGGCCGCGGCGCGGGGCCGAACGCCGGCGCAGTTTCGGCTCCCCCGGCGCCCGCGGCAGCTGCCGTCAGTGACCGTGTCACCGACTCCGGCAGAGCCAGGTGCAGGTCCGTCACGCTGTTCTCGTGGCGCGAAGCGCCGCCGCACGTGAGACAGGTGAACGTAGTCTCAGCCCGTCCGGTCAGTAGCCGACGGACCAGGCCGGCGGGCGGCTCCTCAGCTCCGGCATCGCCAGTGCCGTGCTCACGCACCACCTCGCCCTGCGCCTGGCCGTCCGGATCAGTCTGCTGCGTCCCGCCGGTGTCCGGTGACTCTGAGGGCTCCCCCTCCGCGGCGGTCCGCTCCGCCCTGTCTCCGGCCGGCTCTGCCATCACCACATCGTCGCTGGCCAGGTCAGAGAGCTGCACCGGCGGCGATCTCCCGCCGGCCCGCGCAGTGTCGCAGGAACGGTGCCGGCGCCGGGACCGCGGCCGCTCCATCGCCACTGCTCCCGGCACGCTGGAGTCGTCTCTGGTGCGTGCGGCGGCAGCAGCTGGAGGGACTGGCGGCGGGACCGCGACCGGTGCGGCAGGGGAAGCTGCCGGAGACCGCTCCTCCTCATGCAAGGCGTCCAGAAAGCATCGGAGGAACTCTGAGCAGTCGTGCTGCCGGCCCCGCTCAAAACAGGGCGGCAGAGCGGTCCGCTGGAACTCGCCCGGGCTGTAGACGGGCCGCTCCGAGAACGCCAGGAAGGCGAACACTCGCTGTAGTGCCGCCAGGTGCGGGCGGGAGGGGGACGGCCGCGCTGCCAGCACCTCGCCGCGCAGCTGATCTGAATGGAACAGCGCCTGTAGCACGGTGTTCATGAAGCACGTGTTCCCAAGGTTGACCAGGCCGCGCCGGTAGCACGAGTTGCCCAGGTTGATCTCAGTCGGAGAATCTGCCTTGGGCGGCGTGGCTCTTGTGCTCCTCTTGCCGCTGGTTTCGACCTCAGGCGCACAGCTAGCCGATGGCGTAGCCGCCGTTACCGCGTGGCTCCGCGGCCACCGGCGCGTCGTCCCTGGGTTGCTCCCAGCGGTGGAGGCAGCCCTGCGGGTTTGGCCTGCTTGTTCTATGCCAGATTGGGGAGCGGTGGCGAGGACGGAGGCCGCGTTGCCACGAGCGATGGCCACGGACAGCCGCTGTCGCAGCCACTCCGTCTCGCGACGCTCACCCGTGCAGGTTGCCAGGCGTCTCCCCAGGTCCTGGACGAAAGCGGCGGCAGCCGGACCATAGACACCGGTTGTCTCCAGTGCCACCGGAACAAAGCTATACCTCCTGGCTAGGTCCGCATAACGCTGCCGCTTTCGCTCTTCGGCTTGCCTTGCAGCTGCACCCGGTTTCAGTGCTGACTCCACCGCTATGTGGTCGGCGAAAGTGTCGACGCAGGTCGCGTCCCACGTCAGACACTTGCCCTCGCGGAAGGGGAATACGGTGATGCCATCCGGTCGTCTGCCGTCGCCCCGGTCGAGGCCGACTGGCTCCAGAATGGCGGGAAAGCCAGCGCCGGAGAGAGCGCGACGCACCACGTCGTTCAAGTGGGCATGACGCGAGTGGCGACCCGCACTTTTCTGGCAGGAGAGGCCATGATGTCCCAGCGGGGTGACGGGGCGCGCACACAGACGGCACCGATGCGGCTCGCAAACCGGGGCGCCGAGTCTCAGGGCCACAGCGACGCGGACGGTTTCGTCGTCGAGGTGAAGCCCGAGACTCGGCACCGGCACCGCCTGGATCCAGGCCGCTGTGTGCGGCTGGCCGGCGGCGATGAGCCGAGCTCGGTCGATCTGGTTGGCTGGTACCAGTAGGCGACTTTGGACCACCGTACAGGCGACGGTGTCCCACGCGCGCTGACTACTGACCAGCTCACCGTCCGGCAGCTGCTGTCGGTCCACCCCTGTGCGATGAAGGAACGCGCTGACTGCGGTCTCCAAGGTGTCTGAGAGTTCATCAGTCACACTCGGACAGATGGAACGGATGAGGGGGCGTGCTGCGTTTACCGACGCAATGTACGCTGGTAGCGCCAGTGCCTCGACTGACCGGATGCCCAGGCCGCCGAACTTCACTGGAAGCGACGCCTGCTCCCATGCCGCAGGGTTTATGGCCACGTTGCAGACCGCTTCTAGTGTGCTGCGCACCATTTCGTCAGTAGCCTGGAGTACGTGTGGGGCTTTGAACGCCGGTGCGGAGCGCAGCAGGTACGTCAGACGCGGTGCCGATACGTGGTGCGCCAAGAAAAACACCGCAGTGTGGCTGTCTAGCTCGCGCAGCCGGGTGCAGAGGCGTTGCACCATAGCAGAGGCTGCCTCTCCTGCTGCTCCTATGCTGCCGTCGGTCAGGGGAGAGCCAAGCAGAGATAGGTTTGTGAGCTCAGTCTCTTTGACGTCAGGCAGCGCAGAGCAGATGGCGCCGATGGCAGCGTGGCGGTGGTCCGAATCTTCAGCGCCAATGAAGGCCACCTCACACTTGGACGCGTTCAGTGAGAGACCAGCGGCTGCCAGCGCTGTTGGAAGTGTTGCGATGTCAGCAGCGACCGCGCTGGCTGGACCGGCCAGCGTTGCATCGTCCAAGTACCAGATGTTCAGAGGTGCTGACACTGCTCTGGCGCAGGAGTCAATGGCGATAGCAAACGCGGCCGGTCCGAGCGGGTCGCCTTGCTGGACACCGCAGGCCGAAGCGATGGTCTGCCCTCCGATGATGAGTGGGCTGGGTGAGCTGTAGGCCTGGTAGGCTAGGTAGTACACCTCCGGACATCGCTCCCTAATGCGGGTCAAGAAGACGTCGCGCCGCACCGTGTTAAAAGCATTTGACACGTCAAGTTTGACCAGCACGTGTGGAGCAGCTGACTGTCGGCTGGCTTCAATGAAACTGCGCGTTGCATGGACCGCCGCCTCGCAGCCCAGGGGCGTTCCTACCCCGAGCTGGACAGGACGGAGTTCGGCACCAAGGCTGTCTGCCACGAAGCGTGCTCCGATGCGGGATGGCAGGCGTCGGTAGACGCTCCCGACTGCAATGGGCCGCAATCCGCCGCTCTTCTTCCTGAGTGCGCATAGTGAGGCGCTGAAAAGGGCGTCCCTGGCACAATCCGGCACCTCGCCGGCCAGCACCAGGTTGGTGAGTACCGTCAAAGAGTGCAAAAGACGGCGGCCGCTCTCAGCCGCCTCCCTGGATATAAGCTGGCGTAGATGTAGCGGCCTGATGCCGTCTAGGCCTGCTGATGATCCCGGAGGCATCGAGTTGATAGCGGCCTCCACCTCCTCCGGCGTCACCGTGAGCGGCCCTGGGTCTGATGGGGCGGGCGGTGGCGGCAGAAGCTCGTCCTTGGGAGCTGCTGGGTGTTTCAGCATTAGCTCGGCGATTACTTCGGCGTCAGGCTCGGCAACTGCATCGTCTGAGGTCAGTAGCCTTAGGGCCGCCCGGATGTCGCCATCTGCACATTTCCCGAGGATCCGACGGGCCAGGGCGTCAGTGGCAGGCTTTTGATGTTCTCGTGCTGAGTCATTTGTTGGTGGTTCGGGAAGCACGTTTGGTGTCATGGTTTGGTTGGGGCTGGAGAGCTGCTGCCTGATGCTCGCTGCGGCACTGACATTATTATCGCCTTTTCCTGGTGTGCGTAGCGCGAAGAACGCGAAAGACAGGAAGGTCCACCACGCGCAGATTGTGCGTAGCTTAAGGGCATCCTCTAAGGCGCTGCATAGGGCATCGGCCACCAGGGGCCTTACGCCTTTAGGTATTCGCGAGATTAGTTTAGTGCTTCTCCTTAGAGTTGCCAGTCCTTCGACGACGCCAGTGTCTGGAACCTCTCTTCCGTTGAAAGCGTCAGAGAGCTGGGCTGACTCGCGGCCGAGGCATGCAGGACAATGCCAAACAGGGAGGTGATGGGATTTCCTTGCAGGGACCTTAGCGCAGGAAGTATGCCATAGTTGCCTACAGGAGCCGCAGGTGATGGTTGTCTTCCTGCGGCTGCGAATGGAGCAGGCGACACACTCAGCAGGACTCTGGGTGGACGGCTGGTCTCTGGCGTCGTGAGGTGGCTGGCTGACCGGAACCAGTGACGGCGAGGAAGCTGGTGGTGAGGCGTCTCGCGCTGGCTGGCTGGTCGGTGTCGGTGACGGCGAGGAGGCTGGTGGTGAGGCGTCTCGCGCTGGCTGGCTGGTCGGTGTCGGTGACGGCGCGGAGGCTGGTGGTGAGGCGTCTCGCGCTGGCTGGCTGGTCGGTGTCGGTGACGGCGAGGAGGCTGGTGTTGAGGCGTCGCGAGGCGGCTGTGGGCTGTTCTCGCCGTTGGAGGTAGGACGCTGCGGGTCGCAGGGCTGGGCGACAGGAGTATTTTGGCAGGTGGTGCATCTCCATTCCGTGTGGAGCTTCGCGAGTCGCAGCAAATTCGACCGGTTGAGGACTGCGCAGCGGCCATGGAACCACCGGCTACATTGGTGGCATTGAACTGAGCCGCTCCCGACACCCCGGCTGCATGCGCCGCAAGGGTACCTATGTGACATGTTTGCTGGTTAATCTCCGGGTCATTGCGCTTGAGTTCAAGTTATTAAATGAAGTCTTGGAAAAGAGTGGCCGAGCATAATCTTGCACTGGAGTAAAAGATGTCGAACAAAATTTCAAAACGAAGAGCGAAGAAAGCTACACCATCCGGACAATAGCAATCCCAAGAGAAACTTGATTACTTCTCATGGGCCGACTTCATACAGTTGCAATTCAACGCATCTTCCCGTTGATTTCTTCGGTGCAATCAGCTCATATATATCCATACGACATATATGGATATATCCATACGGCAATATCAATACGATATTGCCGGCTTTAATTTCGTGGGAGCTTTTAGTTGCAGTTACGCGTTGTTAATATCCACGAGCCTTTTTGGCAAAAATCAAGCGTGGATCAGCAGTCCAAACAACAATGTTTTTTTAACTAAAGTTCAAAATTTTACCATTTTCAAACGCTTATATCTGGCAAGTTACACAACATTAAACTTTATAAATTACTGTTAAACATTCTACGTTAAATTCCTAACCACGCTATATTATTTTCAGCTCGTGACACAATCTAGTTACGGTAAAAAATGACAAAATACTAGAGCCCCTTCAAACACGTCCGACCCCTATAAGTTCTCAAACATCCGTCAGTCATCCGTCAAAAGATCAAATATTGTCATCAAAGATGTAAAAAAAAAAAAACAGCAAGCGCGACAGTACGAGTATGACGGTGCGAATCGTACATTGGAATATTTTTTAGTCTTTATTCATACACTAGGTATGCTTTCACAACAAAAACGTTGTGATGATGTAATTTAAAAATTTCTGAGGATGTCATTATACTTTTCATTGGGGGTGGCTTTCCCCGCAACATCACCAATTTGGCCACACTGCAGGATGAGGTAATACCGACAGGCCAAGGGCTATTCAAGCCCTAGGATGAGTGGTCATCAGTCTGTAAGGATCACAGTAGCTTCTAATGGTAGAGGCAAGGGATTCAGCATGGCAGCATGACGTGTGAATACTTACGCGGCGGATTCAACAAAGTTTGGTAGATTATCGTTCTCCGATATTGGACTGGGGTAAAGACAAAAAGGCGCAGACACAAAATATCTAATAAAAAGTGGCAAACTGCCAACAATATTTAATTCTAATGGACACAAGAAAACATAAAAGAGAGTGACTTCAGTCGTCCTCACCTGTGACCTTTCCGCAGTAGACTGTCTTGGGGAAAGCCTTGGACAGTCCGCGGTAGTGATCGTAGTGGAAGTGACTCAGGAAGTACGCCTCCACGCCCGGAACCGTGCCGTAGTTGAACGCGTCCACCGCAAACGGAGCGCCTGCGGGTCACGGCAGAGGTCAGGGTGTGTAGATCACAGGTTAGGCTGGGGTGTAGGTGGTACAGACCAGGACGCGTAGCTAGGACGGCGAGGAGCACCAATGGCTCAGAAACCGTCAGTCAACAGGTGTTATTCAGAAAAGCAAGAAAATGCACAGCGTATGACACAAACTCAATGTTGAAAGCGATGCTGAACGTAACAAAAATAAACAAACAAAACAGAACCACAACTGGATATCGGCATTCGACATTGATCACAAAAAATGTACGAAAAAAGGTTGCACGCGAGAACGAAAGAAAAGAAGCAAAAAAGTTAAAATAAAAACCCACTCCCAACTTATTTTTTAAAAGGGGAATGAGAAACAGCGGAGGAAAACAAAATAACGAGAAGGAAAAACTAATTTACAGAAAAACTAAAACATCCCGTCCCCATCTTTATACTTATCGTTCTTCCATCTATCCCCCTCCCCCTCCTTCTAATCCCACCACTGACTCACCGGGTATCAGTTTGTAGAAGGGACACTTGCGCTCGCCGGTCGGCGGCCGCTCCCCATTGACCTGGGCACGCTGCTGCTGGGCCGGTGTAACCGCCGACGGCCGCATCTTGGACATGATGTGGGCCCACTGACGCTTGGTCTCTTCTTCCTTGGCACTCACAGCACTCGGCGCAGCTGAAGGGAATGAGGTCGGAGGGTTAGGTTGGAGTATGTTCGCTCGGAAAAGCTACGTACAAGCGATTGATCGGTGGTTTCTTGAAAACATTACACACCACTCAGCCACTCATTTTTCTAATGAATACAATTGATTTGGTTCAGTTATTCGCCGATAACTAGTAGCTTGCCCATTCAGTTACGAGGCAGCCAGCTGTTTCAGACACATTTCTTTTACGCCACAGCGGCGGATATCTAACCATATTTTACATCAGCAAATGGCCTGATAATCCTTTATATCTCATGTTCTACAATCGTTATCACTTACAATCCGAATTATATAACTACGGGAAAGTATGTGTCCCACAAGCCTTCCCAAACACCCTCTCCCATCCAATTTGGCCAACTCCAGATCCGCATAACTCACGTTTGGCTGCCGACGTCTGCTGCTCCTGTCCCAAATCCGTCTGCGCCGTATCAGCAGCGGTAGCTGATCCCTCCCCAATCCTTCCTGTACCACTGGCTGCAGCGGTGGGTGCCGAGGTCGAGGTCTCGCCCGTTCCAGAGGCTGACACGGGGGTAGGGGCAGCGGTAGTCTTCTCAGTACCTTCAGTCGTAGCCGCAGCGGCAGAAGCCTGCGCGGAAGTAGAGTCCTCTTTTTCGGTAGTTGTTGGAGCCGGTGCCGGAGGATGGCAGGCAGAAATCGCAGCCTGTCTACAGGCCGCAGCCGTCGCCTGGTCCAGCGTCAGCCTCCTCTTCTTCGGCGGCTGTGATATACCTCCAGCTGAACTGATGGAGACTGTAACCTTGCTTCCAGCTGAACCACTGTCTGAAGGCTTAGCCGCCTCGCTCGCTGCCCCACGATTCCCCTCGCTGATGCCCGAATCCTGGGCGGTACCACTCAACTTCGAGTCATCATCCAGAAAACGCTCGACGGCGTCCGACACACACTCACTAATCGTGTCTTGTGGGTCCTCCTGAAGATCGTCAAATGGTGCCGGTCGCCTGCGCACGCTCAAATCCAGCGCTCCGCCTGTCTCCGCTGCTGCTGCCGCCGGTTCCATTATCTCGGCAATACTGAAACCGGCGCGCCTCGGTGGCACAGAGAGCGACGCTGATGAGCCGGGCCGCTGGGGCAGCGTGAAGCTACAGCTTCTCGGTCTACTCCCATAGCGCCCACCTCTTCCACCCCTCGGCGGAGACATGGTATTCGCTCGGGAGCGAATCGGAAAATGCTCACTGCTCGGACTACTACGACCGAGCGCGGATGGCACAGGAGCCGGCGCGGCGCTCGGCGGTAGCGGAGACGGCGCCTGGGGGCTGGTACTGGCTGGCGAGGGGTGAGGACTCCCCAGACTGACACTCAGCGGACTGTGGAGGCTGCCGTGCGGGCTGTGGGTCACCCTCAGAGGGGCGGCCGCCGAGCCGGCGCCTCCCGGTAGCTGACGCGCAAGACTCAGGAGCTGCAGGTTTGAGGCCGAGACCGCTGACGAGGGAGCTGAGACGGCGGCGGAGCGTATCGGGTACCCGCCCGGCTGGAAACGGGAAACGAGAGAGTCAGACGGCGGGACCCAAAAGTCAGACACAATGAGGTGTCTATTCAATTATTTTACACAACGTCATTAGATAAGTCAACATAACAGCGTAAAACCTCAGCTCAACTCAGTACAGATGGCATGGCTGGCTAGACACTCATGCAATTACGAATGATGCAAAAGCTGGACGTTTAGTCAATAAATAAATGAGCGACTAAACATTTGTTTCATAAACTTCAGCAAACAGTAAAAATTAAGAGAACAGCCACTTAACAAAACTACTTTTGATTCCTCTTAATATATAACCCTGATATTCATACATCCAAAACAACCATTCTAACCAAACATTACCCTCACTCCGAAATTCATCCCTTTCCCTCCCATCTCTCCCGACACTCACCCCTCCTCTCTCCCTCCTCTCCCCGCTCTACCCACCGGTTGTCGCAGCTGGAGCACATCCCTATGCACGTGCGGTGAGAGTGCCGCCGGCAGCGGCGGAGGCGCCTGGTGGTGCGGCGAGTGAGCCCGAGAGGTGAGCAGCGCGTGCGCCTGGTACTGATACTGGTAGGCGCGCAGTCGGGCCAGAGCCAGGTGCGCGTACCGGCTGTAGTGAGCCGGCACGCCGCTCTGACAGTGAACCGAGTCGGGACACTCTGTAGGGGGGTGGGGGAGGGGAGGTCAAAGGTTAAAAGTCAGGTCAGGTCGAAGGTTAAATTTGAGACACTGCCGGGAGTCAGATCAGGTCAGATCAGGTCGAGGGTCAGTCAGCTTAGCTCAAGTCAGTGTCAGAATGCCGCCGATGGAGGTGTTCAAGTCCGACCACAAAGTCAGGAGTAGGATCCTTTGCCGGGGGGGGGGGGGGGGGGTTAGGTAACGGCGGGTGACCTTCCCAATGTTGTGTGTTCGATGTATAGTGTATACCGCACACCTGTGGATTATGTTGAATCGGTAGCGGCAAAAATAATGCAATTAGAAAACCAGTCGCATAGCTGTCATCAACAACAAAGATACATATAAACATCAAGCATACTTAGCAGGAAGAAGATGAGGTTCAAAGAATGTCAGTAAATAAACAACAGAAAAAAAAAATAACTAGAAACAATCAACGAACAACCAACAACAAGTGCGCAACAAAAACGAAAGTGACGTAAAGCGGAAGGAAGTTACATAATCGCAGCGAAGTTCAGCATCCATCGCTGAAAAACATGATTCAAAAAACAACTTTCACTAAAAGTACGATCGAGTCTGAAACTTTTCCCTGCCTCGCGACCGGCAATTGTATACCGGCTACAAAACAATGGTTGCTGAGCCAGGGATGAGCGGTGCAACAGTTCACTTCTTACATAATAGGAGGAAGAGCAGTGGTTACTAGGTAGCGAGAAGCGGCGCAACAGCTTTTGCATAATGAGAGAAAGACGCATAGTTTCATAATCGTGATACACGTTTAAACATGATAGATAGCAATGATAATATAACTTTACATCGAATCCTAAGGAGAAAACAGTCTGAAAGTCATGCTATCACCGCGATGAGAATGTGTCAGAACTCAGGCCATACGCACGTCGTGCAGGTTTCAGCAAAGGATGGCAAGGTCTATGTGAAGCAGAGGTTCACGGGTGCCCAGTATCATGCTGGCTGACCAATGGTCTGACTTATGACAACGTAGGGTGCATCCTGTGATTCGACATGGATGTGGATCTGGTTTTAGGATCCTTCTGGCATTTATAACATGTAGCACATACCATCCTGAATAGAACGTGGTTCCAGCCGGTCGAAGGGGCTTCACTAGCCATAAGCCATTCGCATTCACTATTCAGCACTCACCCTCTCAGGAGTTACATTCAAATAAAGCCTGAGCACTAAGCAAGTTACGCACGTTCATTAAACATACTTTTGCAGATGAGCTTCCATTCTTCGACCAGCCCTTGAATCCTACGCTCGCAACACACATTTCCCCATTCCCTGGTTGAAACATTCACCCCCTGGCGTACCTGGCAGCTGCTGGGACCGCCCCATCTGGGCGCACTCATCCAGATGGTGCATCGGAGTGGCGCTGACCAGAATGGCGAACGGCATCTGGCACGACGGGCAGTAGGGCAGCTTCACAGGAGCCGAGTCGGGCGGCGCGTAGCACAGCGCCGGCGACATCTGACGGGAGGAGAGAGAACTGTTAGTTTGGGAAGGTGGTGGTGTAGATGTCGCAGCGGTAAGGCAATGGCTGCTTTCGATGAGGGAGTTTGGGAGGAGAGGGTGGGGTGGTCGGCCTGTTTCGTCATCCAGGTTGAAAACATCGCACGTCGAGGGTGTGGTCGCCATTCGTGAGGTCTATTGCCACGTCCACTTGTTGCTGGTTTTATCATCATGTGAAATGGTAAACACACTTGATGGCTGAGCATTGAGCAATGAGCCATCGCGGAATGTGTAAGATACAGGTCATCAGTGTTTAACTAATAAACCATCACAGTACACTTTCTCGAGATACGGGGATCCCCTAAGAGCATCATATCGCCCACCAGACCTCCCAGATCACCACACACGTACTCTGTTCCCTTTCCCCGCAAAAAAAAAACTGACCGCTGAAATTCGTCTATACCGCTAACCACGCCTTGATCGGCATCGCAATCAATCTCCCATACTCAGCAAATTCAGACACACCATATTATAGGCTTCCTGTCTACGCTAGCCTTTTCTCAAGCAGCCGCGCGAACAGCATAACAGCTACTACCCATGACCCAGGGTAAATTGAAAAACTGGAGCGTGCCAACCTAGCCCCACCCCGCCCTATCACCAGCCCCTCCCCTAAACCGGGGATTCCCAACTCATATCCGCTCACATGTCACTCTTATCAAATAACGTCGGGTGGCGACGGCGGCCGGCGGCCGTGGGGCGATAAAGCTGGCCCCATTGAGGTGCGCTGCACTGTGCAAACCAAGTCGTACCACTACCGAGAAATTCATACCGATGAGTCACTGAAACACTCTCTGAATGAGGTGCCACAAGGCAAACGTGGATTCACACCACCATTTTTGGGTTGAGTAATGAGTATGACCAGTGTGGTCGTAAAAACGTGCTAGTAAGTATGCAAAGAATCTACGCCAAAGAAAACCACATAGCATAATGCATTCCACGATCAAACATTTAACACTATTTAATTTTTTACAAGGTACAAGCTACTACAGCGTACTAAGCACAGCGCTACTGAGCCATCGGCTAAAAACGCCATGAGTGAGACCAAGCCGTACGTACGCTGAAATAACGAAATTCCACACGCGGCCATTCTATGTACATTCCACATTCCTCAAACATTCCAGATTCCCCTCCCCGGCGACACGCACGCGTCACTTGTGACATATTTCGTTGAAAAACTCCTTATATCAGCCATGTATCAGCAGTGCAGACGCATTCCTTAGTGCCCCTCCCTTCAATGATTCCCACCCCAGAATGTCTCTTTTCAGTACTTTTATGGCTACGCGTTTAAACGCGTAGCAATTCACGTAACCCTAAACTCACCTATCAAAGTGGAACTTATGTAAACCAAGTCCCAACCATCAGGCCTCAGCGTGAAACTCACTGTTTCTGTATCAAAATCACCTAAACCACCAACCCAAATTCACTGGTTCCTACCCAAATTCACTAATCCTAAACTTAATTCACTGATTTCAATATAAAGTTACTTACGCTCGTCCCCCAGCCTCCCACCCACGCACACCATGAATCCCATCCCCCACTCCCAATCACCTCACCTGTGCCGGATGGGCGGCGCTGCCGGACGGAGCGGCGGGGGCGGGGGCGGGGGCGGCAGCCGCAGCCGCCGACAGGGCGGCCTCCTGGGCGGCGCGGAATACCGCAGTCTTCTTGAGCGGCAGCCGGGCACGGTCTGCGGCATCGCCTCCGGCAGGGTCACCGCGATGGTGGAGCTGTTTGTAGCGGAACTTCTTGGGCGGGAGGAACACGTCACGGTCATCGTCCATTCCGGCCTGCCAGAGAAGAGAGAAAAAAGTTAGATAAGTTTATTTGTTTGTTTATTGGGGTTTTTGGGCGAAGCGGTTAGAAAAGAAAATGTTTAGAAAAGGAAGTATTTAGAAAAGAAAAAGGTTAGACTGACGAGTCGAAGATATAAGCAAGAGGTAGGGATGAAAGTATGGAGAGGAAGGAAGTCAACTTCAGTCGCGGACTGGAGATGCCTGCCACAAGGGCAGTTGTGACAAGAGGAGCAGTTATGGAAGGGAGAGAATGGCGGGGTAGTCACAGCCAAGGGCCATTGACCCTCGGAAAGAGAGGGAGAGGGTGAACGGATACAAAGCGGAACGAGAGAGTGAACGTGAGAGGTGGGTGACCGCTGTCCATATCAGTCGAATGCCGGTCTACTAAACTGAGGGCGGGGCAGTTAGAAAGGGGTTTCACCATACCGGGACAGCAGTTCTGCAGTAGGCGAGAGCGTAACAAAACAACTGCGCAGCAGAGCTTGTATCAAGATGCGGGTTTGTTCATTGCTACGAGCAATCGATCTTTCTCGGAACGGGGGAAGGGCGAAACAACCAAGACTGTTTGTAGCAGTCTTAGTCTGAAAACGATGAACGGAATAGCTAGATGTGTCATTCTTTGAAGTTAATAATTGAGTGTCATTTTAAAGTCAATACTAGGAACAATTTAATATGGCTTACCCCAAGATATCAATTATCTAGTCAGCTAGTAACAAACAAGGCTGGAGCCCTGTCTGCCACGCCACCGTTCTATATTCAGAACTCAGTGCAAAGTGCGACAGCGATAGAGAGCCACCAGCTATGCTACCACACCTTTACACGTGCGCGGTTTTATCAAAAGGAAAACACGACAACCGTAATCCTATTCAAACCACGTCATTTAATGTCATCGACAATCTTCGATCTCAGACTTTGCCCCCGTAAAGACCCGCTGGGAGTTTCTTCAAACAATCCACTCAACTCCGTCAACCACACCCTGACGAAAGCGTTACGACAAGTCATTTCCGATCGTCGAGCCTTGACAGTCTGCCCACTCAGCTAGCATATTACATAGCTCCACAATTGGAGCTGAATCGACCTATTCAGACGCGTTTTTTCGAAGTTTTACCTTCTCAGTTATCTAGCAAAGAGCTTGAATCAAGCAAACCTCGCATGAATTTTTAGTCTATTGAAGCGCTATCACGTTGCATCTGATCTGACACAATGACGGCACATCACGCCTGACCTGACACACTGTTACCAAGTAGTAGTCAAAGGACCTGACACACCGCCACGATCAGTCAAATATGACCTGTCACACTGCCACAAGCTGTCAAAGTTGACCTGTCATACTGTCACCAGCTATCAAACTTGACCAGACCCAAAGTCACCAACAGTCACCAACCGTCAAACCTGACCTGACACTCCGTCACCAGCTGTCAATTCTGAGCCACTATCACTAACCACCAATCCACACACTACAGCCACCCAGAGAGGTGCTAGTTGGGAACAGCTTCACAACCAACACCTGTGGCGATCTACGCTTAGAGGAAACCTCTTTTTCAGAGGCCAGCAACTAGCAGATGTTCAGCCATATGTGCCGCAAAATATCGCCGCATATTCGCGGAACTACAACGTGAAATAGGCCAAAATCACAGAAAATCGCAGATTTTGGCGGAGTGATTCGCATTGAAATAGGTCCCTAAATATCGGATACTGGCGCCAACTAATTACAGAAGGCGGTTGTAATAGTAAGAAGACACGCAACTTGAGTGAGGGGTATTTAACGGCATACTGTCAAATAATTCATTTTTGATGCAGATTATGGTTACAAATATAGATCCGTTCCATTTGGGCATGACACAGTGACACCTGTATAAATTCTCGAAAATAGCATGCATGCTACGCAGTTCACACTGAGCAACAGCGTCATACGATGATGAAAACTGAAACGTATTGATTCAAAACGTCATACTCCTCTCCATTGACAATCGACACAAATACATCACCGACAGCCCACCCGCAGTCACCAATGGCCGTCTTCCCAAATCTCCGCCTGCCCGGTAACCCCCCCCCCCCCTCCCCCTATCTCGAGCGCCGCCGCCGGCCGCAGCCAGACGCCTCACATTCCTCAGTGAAGCCGGCGCCGCCCCCGCTCCCAAAACATCCGGGTCACGTTCGCTGACGTCATCAGGCGTGACGTCAGCACGACGGAAGCGCCGCCCCTCCCCGTGACGTCACCGGCCGGCGCCGCGAATAGATCGGCGAGACGGATAGAGAGGCTGAAATCGGGACCGGGGAAGCGTGGAGCTGTGGGATTGGGGAACGGGGCGGGGTGCGGAGAGCCATGATTTATATGCGGAATTCGAAGCAGTGATTCAAGCAGTGTGAGTGATGCATGAGCAGTTTGGAACTATGCAGACACAACGAAGCCAGCGCTGGGGCTAGGGCTAGGTAGACATCTGCAAACTTGCCGAAAGAATTGAGAAACTACATTAACCCTCGCCGGACCTATTGGTTTTCTACATACGCGCCGGCCGAGGGGGGGGGGGGGCGGGTACGACCCCCCCCCCTCGCCGTTTCGCCCCTGGTGGAGCTAGCGCGTCGCGGAAAAAACGAGCGTGTGCGCCGTTACGAGACGCAGAGATTGGTACCCGATTTTAAGGTCCTAGGTCAACTGGTGACCTCTGAGGTCAGGTCAAGTGCCCCAAGGTACGGTTCAGTTTTTGGTGAATAACTTCGCAAAAAACGGCCGCAGAGCGCCGATTTTGGCAGCATCGTGTTCGCCTCGCTCAGGCGCGTCGAATGATATACTTTTTGTCCGGGTCAGGTCAACTTGGGGTGTTGACCTCAGGTCAAGGTCAGGTCAGCACCCCCAGGTCACGAAGTTGGTCGAAAGAGGTCATGTCGCATATCATTCGATTCGGCTGGCCTTCCTGAGTCCATTGGTGCCTTCCCCGACTCGCTAGCTCAATTTGATCAAGAGTTATTGACGAAAAACTAATTTGACCTTGATGACGTCATAAATGACGTCACGCAAGGTCAACATTGCAAAAGTGACGCATCTAACCTTGCAAGGAGTGCATCAAATCACGATCCTGTGTGCTTGAGATAGTTGGAGATCGTTCCCGGCGCCAGAATAGCAGTTTGAATTTTTCCCCATTGACTTATAATGGTGAGGTCACGAAAATGACCTGACCTCATATGACCTTTAGGAAAAATCCGAGATATACAAGTTGTGGGACTCATAATGGATACTAGATCCTGCAAGTTTCATTTCCCTGTGACATCTCCTCTGGCAGTGAGGGCGTTGCGAAGTTGCGACATCTGAAGACCGTGCAGAGGTTCACTTATGACGTCATAGGTCAGTGACCTGACCTGACCCAAAAATGCGGTTGGTGTCAAAAGATGCGGCTTGGATCAAAGGTCAGGTATGCCAAGTTTCAGCTCTCTATCGCCAGCGTGTTCGGAGCTATCGCGAAAAAAACCCTATGGGGGGGCGGCACCCGCCCCCCCCCTCGGCCGGCGAGGGTTAATCATCAGTTGGCACATAAACTTCACATGAGCCAGCCGCCAGCCAACTCTCGACGAATGAGACCAACTGCGCCATTTACCCCGCCTGGCAACGGTGAACGGTGCAGCCTGTTTCTTTTTCTCAACCCATCGTCGCGTCGACTTTTTGCAAACACTCCACCAAAAACGTCCTACAAAACCCCGACAACACACGACCAGCTGAAAGCTCAAAAGGTGCCCGCCGAGCGTAGGTCTTTGTCGGTCGATATGCTTCTGAATCCAACTGCGCCGCTGTCGCGCTACGCAACAGCGTAACTGCGCGCCTGGCAACTGTGGCGCATCGGTTCACGACAGGCGCAGTTCGGCTGCGCAGGAGCGCAGGGCGACGTCAGCGCTGACGCATACGGCACGGCGGTGAGCGAAGAATGAAGAAATCCAGAGACAGCGAGAATAAGCTCTCTTGTTGCGCCTTCAAGGGTTCAAACCCAAGCATGGATAACATAGTATCAGACGCATAAGGCGACCAAGAAAGATGTGGAATGATTTCAGCTGAAGCGCGAACAAGCTCTCTTGTTGGTGTGTCAACAAAATCCATCCATCGCTCGACTACTGGAGTTTCAGTATTCAATAGCATCATTATTCATTGGAGCACTAAATAAGTGGAGTATCAGTAGTATTTACTAGCATTAGTTACAGTGCAAGAACATGAGCGACCTTAGCATCACTAGATAACTAGAGTACAGTTGCACTTGAGCACAACCGCAAAGCAACAAAGTGTGAGCACACCCGGCCGTTTGTAACATCGCTCCGCCGCACCGGACAGAACGGGATACCACCGGTCGTGTGATGGCGATCGTTATCACGAGTTTCCTCGTCAGATACTGAACAGGAGCCGTGAGTTTTCCTGCTACTGTTCACGGGCTAGACTGGTTGCTCGAGTCGCATGACTCACTGTGTTTGGCACACAGATGATTCGAGGCTTTCGGCGCGGCGCTTTGTGAGACTCACTCGAGTGCGTTCGAGTAAGAAAGGCATGCGATTTGCTATACACATGTTTAAAAATTCACGGAACGATTTCAATGGATCTCGTAACCATGCAGAATAATTCAAATACATGAGCATCACCCGAAGTTATTCTTAGCTATAGATATTCAAACGAACTTGAGCAACGTAGCCTGACGAACTACAAAGTTCTGTGCTGTACCAAAGCCCACTCATCGTCACACTTAAAGGGACCCTCCCACCTTCAAAAAAGTTAATGAATTGGCATGAAAGTGATGTCGCTCGGTTCAGAAAGAGCAAAAATGAATATCTACCAAATTTCATCGAAAAATATTCACCGGTTTTCAAGATATTACTTTTACTTTTGTTTACTTTTTGGGATCTCCGCTGTTCCTAGCGACTTTATTTGAAAGTGCGGCATTTGTTGCGCGCAAAACAGCATATACCACCGCGTGCTGCCAAACGTTTTAGTAAAAGATTTAAAAATCGTTAGATCTCTG